AGAGAACGCACAAATTGAGTCGCCGCCCGAATCTACAACAGAAGGTGGTTATCGTCGTGTTAGGCTACACGTCAAAATGTTTTCCGTATCATATCATCATATAAACTGATTTAAGTATTCATCCAATTATCTTTTTTCATATCTCTTCATCTTCTTGTTAAGATATTTCAAGCATATCCTCTCACTTCTTCAGAGTCCAGCAGACGAGCAGATACGAGGGGATCTCCACCAGGCCGCTCATGAACACCATGAGGTACACGGAGGCGTCGATGTTTCCCCCGCTGAAGGTGAGGCCGTAGTAGACCATGCTGACGACGAACCAGGCGAAGAAGATGATGAGGCAGCGGCGGCGCATGTTCTTGGTGCTCAGGAGGGTCACCTTCGGGAAGATGCGAGGAGGGTGAGGAGAGGGAGTGGATGGAGGGATGGGTGGGTAGGTGATGGGTAGATAGGTGATAGACTAGTAGATAGATAGGGCAGACAGTCTGACAGGCAGAAGACAACACACACACAGACACACACACACACACACACACCACCACACACACACACGCCGCAGATGATGAAGAGAACGCACAAATTGAGTCGCCGCCCGAATCTACAACAGAAGGTGGTTTATCGTCGTGTTAGGCTACACGTCAAAATGTTTTCCGTATCATATCATCATATAAACTGATTTAAGTATTCATCCAATTATCTTTTTTCATATATATTCATCTTCTTGTTAAGATATTTCAAGCATATCCTCTCACTTCTTCAGAGTCCAGCAGACGAGCAGATACGAGGGGATCTCCACCAGGCCGCTCATGAACACCATGAGGTACACGGAGGCGTCGATGTTTCCCCCGCTGAAGGTGAGGCCGTAGTAGACCATGCTGACGACGAACCAGGCGAAGAAGATGATGAGGCAGCGGCGGCGCATGTTCTTGGTGCTCAGGAGGGTCACCTTCGGGAAGATGCGAGGAGGGTGAGGACAGGGAGTGGATGGAGGGATGGGTGGGTAGGCTGATGGGTAGATAGGTTGATAGACTAGTAGATAGATAGGCAGACAACCTGACAGGCAGAAAGACACACACACACAGACACACACACACACACACACACACACACACACACACACACAAATATATATATATATATATATATATATATATATATATATATATATATATATATATATATATATATATATATAGTTACGAAAGGTAGAATCGTAGAGGAGGAAAGAGAAGAGAGGTTATGAAAATGAATTAAGAATAAAAATAGCATGCAGGAGGACGGGGTGGAAGACTGAATATAGGATATCTCTATTGGCGAGATAACTTACAGAAGAAAACAATCTATATATATGATAAAGTATTGATGGAAAGTATTATGATCAGTTGCATTACTTCACGTCATACATTTATTCAAATTCTATATATCACAAGGTGAATAAATACTTAAAAAAAACAGAATTTCATTATTTTTTTCTTACGATGCTTTTAAAGAAGTTCACGATTTTCTCGAAGACGTTGGTTCTGTCCTCAGTGTCTTTCTGAGGGGGGAGAGAATTGTTAGCAGATTGCGGCGATGTGCTGTCACTTGGATGTCAGTATTCATGTATAAGGGAAAAGGAAAGAAGAAAATTATTCTAATATGTATATATATATACATATATATATATATATATATATATATATATATATATATATATATATATATATATATATATATTATATATGACATTATATATACATTATATATATATATTACATATAACATTATATATACATTATATATATATTATATATAACATTATATACGTGTGCATGTGAGATCATGCTTTTATGCTTCTGTGTACGTGCAGTTGTTTAAGTGCTTGTCATAAAATTGAATCCACATCAGAAAGCAACTCAAGCCAACAGACAAAAAAAAGTTGAATTCACAAGTCAGCGCAAGATAACAACAGCATGCAGTTAGTGTCACAGCAATAACGATTTGTTTGTCTTGTGCCCTTTGTATCAACGGCACATATTATCACTTACGTTCTTCCTTTCTGCAAGCATCTGTCATTCCGAAGTAAATTTTTTAGTAAATCATTTATTTTACTATAGGTATCTGCCCATTCAGTGTAGTTTGTTTTTGCTCATTTCCTAATATAAGACTGCAGTTATCTAGCATTACGTGTTCTAATGGGGGTTCTAAGTTAGATTATTTCAGCCTTTTGTTTAACATAACTTAAGCTTAGGCATTTCATTAACATACTCGGCAAGCTTTGATGCAGATTTACCATTAACCCATAACTTATATATCACAGTGTATATATAAATATATATATAAATATATATTCATATGAATACATATATATGCATATATACATATTCAATTAAACCACCCTAGCTAACTCCCTAAACGTGAATAAGCTTGAATACATTGGTGTGTGGTCATAACATTACCTTAGTACACCGGATTATATATCCTGGCTTATTACTTGAAAAAAAACAATCATTTAATAATACTCTGTCTATCTATCACTCTGGCTTTTTATCAGGCGTGTTTAAACTTTCATACATATTTATCATGACGCATCTGAAATAAAGAGTTAGAGTTAAAAAAAACGAGCGAACATTGCAGGTAAAATCTTGTTAATCAGTAGTAGCTTGGATCATGTACGCAATTGCATGTAAGCGTGGGTAGCTGTAAGCATCATGCACGTAAATATCAAGCACGAATGCAGTTCTTTGCAAATAAAACTTGGGTCGTCTTCTCAAAGCTTACCTCTTCCTGTGCTATCTTTTCTTCAGGTTCCAACTGGAATATATTGAGATCAATATTATTCTATCAGGTTGCTTTTATATACTTGTCTATTTGTTCCTTGTACCAATTCCATTTTCTCCTTTACACCTGTCTATGGTTATTTTACAGATATATACATATGTACAGATATATAAATTATGTCGCAGTATTGGTTTATAACCAAACCAAAGGGGAATTGAATATAGAGATTAAATCCTGTGTCTGTGTGGGATGCGATGTTCTGTTGTTTGAAATGACATTTTGTATTCAAGTATTAATTGTCATGAGTTGAAAAAATATGGTTTAGAGTGATTCTTTGATTTATCAGTGAGAAATATATGTTCAATACAAATTTGCTATCATGAATTCTTACGGTTATTTGTATTATAGAATCCTTATTCATCACAGAAAAAGTGGAAGTTTTGTTTTGCGGCTGGGAATTAAAATATAGTCAATTGTACAAATAATAATGTATCTAGCAGTATTATTTATAATAATAATTTTACGTGCACCCTCATTGGTAACTGCGATGACGTCACTTGGCTCCGCCCCTTTTTCACCTCTGTAAATCACTTTATGACGGTAAGTTTTTCAAATTGTTTAGTAATAACAAAGGTTAAAACAACAATAGTAAGAGGAATTTAGATAAAAGAAATCCAAATTCCTATGAATATTTGCGATAAATGACGACGAAGAGGCAAGCCTTAGTTCGGCAGTTGCCAACTAGGATTTTCTTCAATAGGGTGTGGCACGACCTGTCTCATAAGTACCTTGAGACCTTTAATGTTGGCACTGATGTAATGCGAGTCAAAAGCATTTAACTTCTACTTTTTTTACTCAACAAGAAGTACATTTTTATTTCAGCTTTTTTTTTTTTTTTTTGCTTTATTCTCCATTTCTGCTTGTTATCATAATCCTTATTATTTTTATATTTTTTTTCTCATCAGTATCAGCATTTACATTTCCTTAAGGACAAGTCCGATATGCAAAGCTGAGCCTCGCCCGGGCTATGAGGGGAGCCCGGCCTGTGCCGACTAATGTCGACTCGCTAACGTGTGTCTGGTGCTGACTCGGCTGAACTTTGTTGTTACCCACCGTGATGCCCAGCCACAGCAGTGACCTCAAGGCGACAATTGCAACTTCTCGCGCCTGGGCGGGGCGCCGACACCTCGGATGAGAGGCCGACACGTTACTACTGTACTAACACTCTAAAGATTTCTAAGAAGACTTCTACCGTTCAAAATTTCTACATGTAATTAAAATCAGTTTTCAGAAATTTGCTAAAGGAAAACTACCCTAAACAGCATGTAATTTGCAAAAATATTTTCTATCTCACTAAAACAAAGAGAAGAAAGAGAAAGCCAATGAGGAAGAAGAAGAAGAAAAAAATCACCAAATGATCTATCTAAACAATAATACACCCACGTAATAGACAAATATATGTATACTAATAAAAGTAAATGTATAAATTAATAAATGCAATAAAAAATATCAGTTACCTCCTATCCTGAACACACACGAAAACCCAAAGCCTATGAATTAATTAAATCAAAATAATAGTAATCACAATGATAGTAATAATGATGAATATAAAAATGAAAATAATAATAGTAATAATAATAACAGCAATGATAATAATGATAGTAATAAAAATAACAATAATGATGATAATAACAATAATAATAATAATGGTAATAATAATGATAATAATGATAATAATAATAATAATAATAATAATAATAATAGTAATAATAATAATAATAACAACAACAACAACAACAAAACAACAATAATAATAATAATAATAATAATAATAATAATAATAATAATAATAATAACAACAACAACAACAACAATAATAATAATAATGATAACAACAACAACAACAAAAACACCCAAGCAAAACCAGCTCCAGCATACTCACAGAGACAGTCATTTTGCTCATGATAAGTTCCAACTCCTCTTTCTCGGGCAGTTTCCCCCCGTTCACCTTCGCCGCCTTCTCCAGGATCTTGAGGGCTTCTTCGTGGCGCCCTTGCTGCATCAGCCACCGAGGGGACTCCGGAAGTAACCTGCCAGGGGGGAGGGAGGAGGGGAGGGGGAGGGAGGGAGGGGGGTTAGTGTTGAAATAGATGGTGCAGGTTTTTTGGTGATTTAAAAATAAATGGTTGGTGTGACTGTGTGTGTTTTGTTTATATATGCGTAAGGTATATATATATATG